TTGGGGCCCCGACCGCGACACGGACAAGCGTCCCGCGCGCAGGAATTCCGAGGATGTCTCGCGCGTGCCGCGTCCCGCGCGCAGGAATTTTGAGGATGTCTCGACTAATTCGTTTGTTTTTCCAGGATTCCCTTGGCCACACAGGGGGGGGTACACGTTGCTTCACGTGTCCAGGGCACCCAGGTGGGTTTTAACATGGTGGTCCCGAGCTGGTACCACGTTTTCCCGTGTCCAGGCCACACAGGTGGGTATCTAACATGGTGGTCCCGTGCTGGAGCCACGTGTTTTCGCGTGTGCAGGCCACCCAGGTGGGTATCTAGTGTTGGTCCCGAGCTGGAACCACGTGTTTCACTTGTCGAGGCCACCCAGCGGGTGTCTAAGTTGGTGGCCCCGCGCTGGAACCGCGTGTTTTCACGTGCCCACGCCATCCAGGGGGGTATCTAACTCGGTGTTCCTGAGCTGGAACCGCGTGTTTTTACGTGTCCAAGCCACCGGGTATCTAACATTGTGGTCCTGCGCTGGAACCGCGTGTTTTTACGTGTCCAGGCCACCCAGGGGGGTATCTAACATGGTGGTCCCGAGCTGGAACCACGTGTTTTCGCGTGTACAGGCCACTCAGGGGGTATCTAACATGGGCCTCCTGGATCCTTCCTCGGACTCGGAACGGAACGTCGAGAGTTTATTTGTATGTGGTATCGACGCGTTGACTTTTTGGCCTCTTGGCGCCTCTGGGCGTTCCTGCGCCCCAGACGACCGCATGTAAGATGTCGCCCCCCTGGGTGGGCTGGACCACGTGTTTTTACGTGTGCAGGCCACCCAGGGGGGTATCTAACATGGTGGTCCCGAGTTCGAACCATATGTTTTTACATGCCCAGGCCACCCAGGGGAATATCTAACATGGTTGTCCCGACCTTGAACCATGTGTTTTTACGTATTCAGGCCACCCAGGGGGGTATCTAACATGATTGCTCTGAGCAATGACCACGCGTTTTAACGTGTCCAGGCTACTCACGGGTGTATCTAATATAGTTTCCCGAGCTGGCACCAGGTGTTTTTAGGTGTCCAGGCCATCCATGGGGATATCTAACATGGTGGTCCCGAGCAAGGACCACGTAGTTTAACGTTCCGTAGCGTGTCCCCTTGGCATGTCCCGCGGTGCGTCCCCATGACACGTCCCCTGGCACGTCGCCTGGCGCATCCTTTCGGACGTTCCGCGGCGCGTCCTGCTGACATGTCCCCCTGTCAATGAGCTCTGGGGCAGCTACTACGTGCTCAGGAAGCTCGAGCATACGATCCAGATCAGTTCGGTCAGGACTCGGATGCAAAGGAGGACTCGATCCACAACGCCATAGAGCACAGTCGCGGCATGGCACATCGCAATTCAGCACGGCGCAGCACAGCACAGCCCTCGGCATGGTACATCAAGGTCGATACATTTAGCATTACAACTTGGCACGTTCCTTGGCACGTTCCGTGGCGCGTCCCGTGGCGAGTCCCCTTGGCACGTCGCGCGGCGAGTCCCCTGGCACGTCCCGCGGCACGTCCATTGGCACGTTCCGTAGCGCGTCCCCTTGGCACGTCCCGCGGTGCGTCCCCATGGCACGTCCCCTGGCACGTCGTTTGGCGCGTCCCTTCGGACGTTCCGCGGCGCGTCCTGCTGACATGTCCCCCTGTCAATGAGCTCTGGGGCAGCTACTACGTGCCCAGGAAGCTCGAGCATACGATCCAGATCAGTTCGGTCAGGACTCGGATGCAAATGAGGACTCGACCCACAACGCTATAGAGCACAGTCGCGGCATGGCACATCGCAATTCAGCACGGCGGCGCAGCACAGCACAGCCCTCGGCACGGTACATCAAGATCGATACATTTAGCATTGCAACTTGGCACGTTCCTTGGCACGTTCCGTTGCGCGTCCCGTGGCGAGTCCCCTTGGCACGTCGCGCGGCGAGTCCCCTGGCACGTCCCGCGGCACGTCCATTGGCACGTCCCGCGGTGCGTCCCCATGCCACGTCCCCTGGCACGTCGATTGGCGCGTCCCTTCGGACGTTCCGCGGCGCGTCCTGCTGACATGTCCCCCTGTCAATGAGCTCTGGGGCAGCTACTACGTGCTCAGGAAGCTCGAGCATACGATCCAGATCAGTTCGGTCAGGACTCGGATGCAAATGAGGATTCGACCCACAACGCTATAGAGCACAATCGCGGCATGGCACATCGCAATTCAGCACGGCGGCGCAGCACAGCACAGCCCTCGGCACGGTACATCAAGATCGATACATTCAGCATTGCAGTTTGGCACGCACCCTCGCATGCTCGTGGCGCGTCCCGTAGCGAGTCCCCCTGGCACGTCGCGCGGCGCGTCCCTTGGCAAGTCCCGCGGCACGTCCATTGGCATGTTCCGTAGCGCGTCTCCTTGGCACGTCCCGCGGTGCGTCCCCATGGCACGTCCCCTGGCACGTCGCCTGGCGCGTTCTTTGGGACGTTCCGCGGCGCGTCCTCCTGGTATGTCGCCCTGTCAATTATCTCTGGGGCAGGTACTACGTGCCCAGTCAGCTCGAGCTTAAGAGCCAGATCAGTTCGGTCAGGACTTGGATGCAAAGGAGGACTCGATCCACAACGCCATAGAGCACAGTCGCGGCATGGCACATCGCAATTCAGCACGGCGCGCAGCAGCACAGCCCTCGGCACGGCCTTACATTCAAGTCGATACACTCAGCATTGCATTTGCCCGTCGCCCCAGATTCGTTTTTGGATGATTTTGCGGGGTTCGACAACGGGCCCCACATTTTGGTTGACCCAAAAGGGTGTCCAACTGAAAGGGGTGGAGCTCATGTATTGCACGCGAGAATTTAGCAATACATTTGCGCACCCGGATGCATTGCGCGCCCCAAATTCTATTTCAACCCCACCGATCTATTACACCAAATCTATTGCACCACCCCTTTTAGCTGGACCCCCTTTTGGGTCAATTCGAAACATGCCGAAACCAAAGAAAAACGCACGCATCGACAAATTCATATTGCTGGACATCTATGTTTAGACGCCACCTGCGTGTCCCTTCAGGGGCAACGTTGGGGGGGGATAGGTTCAGGGGATGCATCGACCCCCAATCGTTCATTCAACGCCGAGAGAGGCCTGATATGCCACCCCGCGCACGACCGTGCGGATTCTCTCTTACGCGCCCATCGCCGATCTATCGACGATGTATCGCTGATCCCAGGCCGATGTTTCCCATCTGAGATGGTCCCCCGCTCACGTTGCCCTTCAAGGACGCCCCAGACTTTCCAGGGTTGCGGGGAAATCGCATGCATGCGTGAGCCGTGCATTTGGACGGGCCGCGAAGAAATCGTGACGAACGTTATCCGTAAGGGCGTCGCGCCCTGCCGCCGGCCCCCTCACTCGGATAATGGGCAATGCAAGAGCGAAATCATGAGGCCTTGGCGCCGCCGGGAAGCAGCGTCGGGACTTCACGCGAAGACGGTGAGTAATCGGCAAGACAAATTGAGATTATGATGATATTGTTGAATTCGGTGTTGTACTTCGAGGGTTTATGGCTTCGGATACGCGAACAGCGCGTAATTGACAAGAGTGTATGGCTTCGGGCTCGCAAATATAGCGTCATTTACGCAGGTGTATGGCTTCGGAAGCGCGACTATTGCATACTTTACGAGGGTGTATGGCTTCGGACACGCGATCATTGTAATTTACGAGGGCTTATGGCTTCGGGGTCGCAGACCTTGCGTCATTTGCGCAGGTGTATGGCATCCGGGTCGCGACTATTGCCTAATGTACCAAGGTTTATGGCTTCGGGGCCGCGAGCATCGCATGATTTACCAGCGTCTGTGGCCTCGGGGACGCAAGCTTGCATACTTTACAAGGTTTATGGCTTCGGATGCACGAACATGGTGTATTTTACGAGGGTTTATGGCTTCGGGGACGCGCATCTTGTGTAGTTCACGAGGGTCTATGGCCTCGGGGACGCGAACCTCATGTAATTTACGAAGGTTTATGGCCTCGGGGGCGCGAACTTATAGTATTTTTACGTGTCCCACGCCCCCCCAGGAATTCAGGCAACGCGATTCGGCCGTGGTACTTAGGTTCCTTCTCGCTTCCCCCCCCCTCGCGCGGTCCATTAGCAAGGAGCAGTAAGCAGCAAGAAGCAGAACTGTAAGAGTGGAAGCTGGAAACCGGAGCTGGTGCAGGGAACATCAAACCTTGGTCCTACAGGGCCGGCGGATTACGGTTTTCGTTTCCTCTTTCTCTTCTTGCTGCTGTTACTCCTCGTCCCCATCCACCCCTGTCGTCGTCTCCTCCCCACATCCCCCCTCATGATCTCCTTTTTTTTCCTCCTCCTCCTCTTCTTCCATCTGTCCTCTCGCCTCCGGCTCCGATTCCTCCTCCGTGAAGGAGGAGCGACACTAACACCACCAGGGGATCACCTCCTGCGATGAGGTCGACGATGCCTCCCCGAACTGGGGATGGGGCATGCCGCGAGCGCGAGGGGCGGACCACTCCACCAGGGGGACCCCTTCCTGGCTCCTCTCGCTGGTGGTCCCTGGTGGTGTTGGTGTCGCTTTCTCGCGCCCCATCCGTGGCACCAGAGGATGCAGGCTCGGCGCGAGCTCTCTGTGGCCTCCGTGGGCCCCTGGCGAACTTTCCCGCCTCGGGGCCCCTCCTCCAGAGGCGGCCCCCTCGCGCCCGCGCCAGGCCGCCGCCTCCTCCTCTTCCTCCTCCTCCTCCTCCTCCTCCTCCTCCTCCTCCTCCTCCTCCTCCTCCTCCTCCATCTCCTCCTCTCCTCCTCCATCTCCTCCTCCATCTCCTCCTCCTCCTCCTCCTCCTCCGCCTCCGCCTCCTCCTCCTCCTCCTTCTCCTCTTCCGCCTCCTCCTCCGCCTCCTCGCTCCTCCTCCTCGCTCCTCCTCCTCCTCCTCCTCCTCCTCCTTCTCCTCCTCCTCCTCCTCCTCCTCTCGTCCTCGTCGTGCCCCGCCCCGCGCCCGCGGAGGCTGCCGCCGACGGCAGCGCTGGCGCCCCGCCACCCCCCGACGTGGCCATGCCGCGCTCGCAGGCGGCACCGCGGGGCGGCGAGGAGGGCTGAGGAAGAGGAGGAGAGGGCCGAGGAAGAGGAGGAGGAGAGGGCTGAGGAAGAGGAGTGATCTGGCCCCCCCTCGCAGAGGAGGCAAGGGCTGAAGAAGGAATACAAAAAGGCGTAATCAGAAACTCTTGGCGCTCCGCTCGGATTTCTTGGATCCGCGCAGGTCCCCCCGTGGTGGCGCCTCCGGCGCCGCCCCTGGCGCGCTCCACGCGCCATGGGGGGTGGTCTGGCGCAGATCCAAGAAATCCGCGCAGAGCGCCAAGAGTTCATGTTTACGTATGCCTTTTTCCCCTTCTAAGATTCTAGAAAGGGTCCAGATTTGTTCCGCCATTCCATCTTCTCCGCCTTTTTTGGGGGCCTCCGTGGGCGGCCCTCGTCGCCACGGCTGGATTCGCCTCGGCATCCTGGTCAGGACTCGCCCTGGGAGAGTTCTGGGGAGCAACGATATATCGGTATCTGTTGGTCCCCCCCCGACCTCTCGCTCAGGCCCTTCCCGACCTCCTCGCTTTCGATCCCACGCGGCGGCGGATCGGCTTTGGGGGCCAGCGAAGCCTGCCCGAATGGCATTCCGATGATATGCATCGCGGCGAGGCAAACGCGATCCCTGCCTTCTGCTTGGCGTTTGAGCAGGGCCGAGGGTCAGAGAGCGCCTTCCTCTGCAGGACCACCAAAAAGGGCAACGTCAAGGTGGTCAAACGCCTCGCCGGTTAAGCCGACGAAGATGTGCAACATCCAATCATTTGCTTATGTCTACAGTTTTGGCTGGACGCTGGGTGTGGTGCATCAATTTCAGCTGGACCAAACAGGTTGGTTGCGCCCCATGCCAGCCATCATTACGACGCGACCGTGGCCGATTCCAGCCGCCGATTTCTGCGCATCACGAGTCGCAAGCTCGCCGCGCGGGAAGCGCGGCAGCCGCCCACGAGAGGGCGGCCGCCGCCAGCCTTAGCCAAGCCGCGGCTGCTGCGGCGGCCTCCGCGAACTCCGCGGCTGCTGCGGCGGCGTCCGCGGGTCCCGCCGCGTCGGCCGCGCTGGCCGCGCCAGCATCGCTCGCCGCGCCAGCAACGGTGTCGGCTGCGGTGGCACTGCCGGCCGCGCTGGCAGCGCCAGAGGCGCTAGCAGCGCGGGCCGCGCCAGCCGTACTTGCCGCGCCGGCCGCGCCAGCGACGTCAGCAGTGCTGGCGGCGCCTGCCGAGCTGGCGTGGCCAGCGCGGCCAGCGCGACCAGTAGCGTTGGCGGCGCCTGCCGGGCGGCGCGGCCAGCGCGGTCAAAGCGATTGGCGGCGCTGCAGCCGCGCTGCAGCCGCGCCAGCCGCGCCTGCCGCGCCAATCGTCGGGCTGGCCGCGACAGTAGCGCGGGTAGCGCCAGCGGCCCCAGCAGTCCATCCGCGCCAGTAGCGCAAAGGCCGCGCTGGACGCTCCGACAGCGCCAGCCAGCAGCGCCAGCCGCGCCAGCAGCAGTGCAGAGCGGGCCGCGTCAGCAGAGCCAGCCGCGTCAGCAGCGCCAACCGCGCCAGCCGCGCCTGCCGCGCCAGTTACGCGGGCCGTGCCGGGGGAGTTGGGACAACGGGAATTAGCCAGGTCGACGCGAAGGGGTGCCGGTACCTGACGAAAGAGCACTACCACGGAGGAAGAGTGGATGGCGACGGGAACATGACCATGGAATGATCTTCGCAGTTGCCACCACGCACAGTGCAGTCGACGCTCTTCGGGGCAGGATCGCGATTTGATACGGTCGACAACATATGTATGCTGCGTGTTCGGGCGAATGTCCGCATGCCTTAGTATGTATATGAGCGGCTCCCGGCTAGCACACATCCTCCGTGCAATGTGGTGTATCGAAGCACACGTACTGATCTTCCTGGCGTCTACTGAGTGTGTTGTGCAATCTCAAAGTCTGTTGCCGCCTCATGGACCAATCGCAGAGCAACTTATCCCCCTCCCGCTTCCGCTTTCCATCCCCGCCCCCCCGTCATCTGCCCTTCGTTTCATTTCCGTCCTCGCATCCTCCCACACTCCCCTCGCTTTCGCCCCTTATCTTCATCCCCCACTTGCCCAACCCACCCATATCCCGTACCAGGCCCTTTCTTTTCTCCACAGTTACACATCATGAATTCCACTCTCTTTTCTCCCCCGACTCCGCGCCGAAGATATTTGGCCTTCTCCAAGTGTTGTTTCTAACCATGCTGTGGTGTCGGGTCCTCGTTTTGAAGAGACTGTCCCCGCGTTCTTTCCCTCGTTTCTTCCTTCCTCCTCCCCCTCCTCCCTCCTCCCTCCTCCCATCCCTGCCTCTTCCCTGCTTATGTCCTCAGCGTTTCGTGGCCACATAGGGAGCTTCCCTAAGGTCCCAGTGGCGGTGCCTACATGCGTCTCCCCCACCCAGTACGGCGTGTCGTGGCCCCATAGGTCACCCCGCCTAAGGCCCCAGTGGCGGTGTCCACTTGGGTCTCCCCCACCCAGCACAGCGCTTCGCACCTGAGGCCCCAGTGGCGGTGTCCACGTGCGTTTCCCCCACCCAGCACAGCGCTTCGTGGCTCCACAGGGAGCTCCACCGAAGGCCCCAGTGGCGGTGTCCACGTGCGTTTCCCCCACCCATCACAGCGTTTCGTGGCCAGGGAGCTCCACCAAAGGTCCCAGTGGCGGTGTCCACACGCGTCGCCCCCACCCAGCACAGCGTTTCATGGTCCCATAGGGTGCTCCACCTAAGGTCCCAGTGGCGGTGTCCACATTCGTCTCCCCCACCCAGCACAGCGCTTCGTGGCCACACAGGGAGGTCTACCGAAGGCTCCAGTGACGGTGTCCACATGCGTCTCCCCCAGCCAGCACAGCGTTTCGTGGCCCGATTGGGAGCTCCACTAAAGGCCCCAGCGGCGGTGCCCACATGTGCCCCCCCCACCCAGCACAGCGTGTCGTGGCCCCATAGGGAGCTCCACCTAAGGTCCCAGTGGCGGTTTCCAAATGCGTCTCCCCCACCCAGCACAGCGTTTCGTGGCCCCGTAGGATGCTCTACTTAAGGCCCCAGTGGCGGTGTCCACACGCGTCTCCTCCACCCAGCACAGCGCTTCGTGGCTCCATAGGGGAGGTCCCTCTAAGGTCCCAGTGGCGGTGGCCACATGCGTCTCCCACACCCAGCACAGCGCTTCGTGGCCCCATTGGGAGCTCTACCGAAGGCTCCAGTGGCGATGTCCACATGCGTCTCCCCCACGCAGCACAGCGTTTCGTGGCCCCACTGGGAACTCTACCGAAGGCTCCAGTGGCGATGTCCACATGCGTCTCCCCCAGTCAGCACAGCGTTTCGTGGCCCGATTGGGAGCTCCACCGAAGGCCCCAGCGGCGGTGCCCACATGCGTCCCCACCTTCCAACACGGCGTTTCGTGGTCACATAGGGAGCTCCATCTGATGGCCCGGTGTCGGTGCCCCCATGCTTCTCCCCTACCCATCACAGCGTTTCGCGGCCGCAAAGTGAGCTCACCTCAGGCCCCAGTGGCGGTGTCCACATGCGTCTCCTCCATCCAGCACAGCGTTTCGTGGCCCAATCTCCACCAAAGGTCGCAGTGGCGGTGTCCACATGGGTCTCCCCGACCCGGTACAGCGCTTTGTGGCCCATAGGGAGCTTCACCGATGGCGATACTCACAACTGCATATGGTTGGGTCCTTCGCCAGGCAAATATCCCCCCCCACCGGATTTCAACAGTAGATGTTTCTTACGCTGTTCTTGCAATCCGACTTCTCTCGGTGCTTCAAAATGGTGCTCCTGCTGCAGCGTGTGCCTCACTGTCGGATCGGCGCTGTGCTCACGTGGTTCAGAATGACGCTCTCGTCCCAGCGTGGGCCACTTTGCTGGATACGAACCCCCTTTTTTATCATTGTGGCCCCCTCATTTCCCCTCTGCCTTGCCCTGGTCTTCCCATTCCTCCAGCTCTTTCCACTCCAGTTCTTGCCGCCGCTGTTCGTCCTCGCCCTCCTTTCACCTCCTCCTTCTTCTTCTGCTCATCCTCCTGCTCACCTGCCACCCCTCTTATGTAATACGCTCTGGCGTATTATATAAGAGGGGTGGCCGTACACTCCTCCTTCTTCCCTTGCTCACTTGCCATCCCTCGTATCGGCACCACGTCCACACTCTCACATGATATCCTCCGTGGCGGGCGTTTTCTGGCCGTACTGCATGTGGAACGATACCTGGCTGCCTGCGACAAACCCCGCCACCGTGCCTGTGCGACAGCGCAGCAGGAAGGGTATTGAGTGTAGGAACAGCGCGGTTCCGACGAGTGGTCTCACAAGGACGGGTGGTGAATTCGACCTCTCCTCGTCCGCGCAGTAGGAAGGAGGTCGAGTTCACACCACGCGGCAATTCAGCGAGTGGTCTGCAATGGGGAGTGTTGTGATCCCGACATCGTCTTCGTCCGCGCGGTAGGGAGGAGAAGGAGGATGATGTTGATGATGATGATGGTGAGGAGGAGGAGGAGGAGGAGGAGGAGGAGACAGCTTCTTTGGGGCCTCCTGGGAGCGTCCTGGGGGGCCTCTTGAGGGCCTTCTTGGGCCCTCTTGGGGGCCTCATGGGGCCTCTTGGGCCGTCTTGGGGAGACGCTTTGCCCGTGTGGCGCCTTCGGAAGCCGTCTTGGGGGCTTCTCTGGGTCGTCTGTGTGCCATCCTGGAACGCTTGAGAGCCGTCTTGGGGCCCTCTTGGGGAGCCTCTTGGGCGATCTTGGGATCCTCTTGGGCCCACTCGGGGTCCTCTCAGTGGGCCTCATGGGCTGCCGTGGAGCTACCTTGGAGGCCCCTTGGGCCGTGTTGGGCGGTCGAGCCCCCCCGAAGGCGAGACCTCCCAAATCCTTTTGAAAACCTTGGAGGTTCTCGTGGAGGTCTCTTAGATGTCTCGTGAAGCACTCTTAGGCCGTCTTGAGGGCCTCTTGAGGCCGTCGTCAGAGCCTTTTGAGCCGTCTTGCGTCGTCTCGACCTGTTTTGGTGTTGTCTTGATTGAGGCCGCCCTGGAGGCCTGTCGAAAAGACCGCCAGAAAAAACCCAAAGCCAGAGGGGGCGGTGTTCGAGGGCTGCCTGCTACGAGGGGGGAGGATCGGCCCCAGAATACCAAAGACGCCTCCCAGACAGCAGCAAGCGCTCTAACATGGGAAGCCGATTAATTGAGAGGAAGCGTGCCGCCAGATAATTTCCAGATGTCTACAATATGTTTCAAACATGTTTTACACATGCTAAAACATGTTAAACCATGTGTCACACATGCTCGTCACACTTTTTATTGCAGGTAAAACATGTTCCCAACAATTGTTCTAGACTATGTTTATACATGTTTAGAACATGGTTTACACAAGTTAAACACATCTTTAATTCAATGATTGGACTGTTGGAGTGTCCATTGCCACGACATCTACAATTCGAACATGCACACAGGGCACAAGGCTGGTGGCGGAGACTATCACATGCATCTACTGCATGTTCGGTTCGGACATGCTCTTGCAATCGGGGCGCACAGTACTGAGTATGTCATTCTGCGTTCCATCCTACAGTCAACCCGCATAGTAAGGATGGGCAACCTTCCCAAGGGTACCCTTGCATCCCTGCCCCTTCGGCCCGTCCTTGGCGACTCGCTGGCCAGCCTGGTCCGAAAAGCGCCAGCGCGGCCCTCCAAGGCCCTTGCATCCTTACAGCGCATCCTTACTATACGTGTTCGCTGTACGTCCTTCTGCGTTCCATCCCATCCACGCAGGCCCCCTTCTCTTGGCACCGCTCGGGTTTGTGCATCTTTCTCGGCGAGGACCATCGAGCAGCATGCTGGATCATCTTGCGGAGAAGCTAGCGCACGACATCGAACAATACATGGGGACTGGACTTCCGAGCGATGGCAAGTTTTCAGAGTGCGCTTGCCACGATGGGGTCTTTTTGCTGGAGTTCCAGGTCGGCTATGACATTCGTTCACGGATCGAGAAAGCATCAGCGCACTGGGAAGGGAGGGGAGCGAGGGATAGGATGCCAGAGGAGGCGCGACCGCACCTAGCTTGTCTTCCCCCCTCTCCTTTTCCATTTTCCTCGGTCCCCGAATCTCGAGCGACGACACCGATCCTGGCCAATCCAATCCTGGCCCCAGTTCTGGGCTCAGGATGGGCCTGGCGAGGATTGACTTGTGTGCATCTCTTTCTTCTGCAAATGGCCCCCCCGCCAGCCCAGGTTGCCCCGCCCTGCAGCCCGGACTCCTCCCCCACATGGTCCCCCATGGGCGACGCCTCTCGCTCCGAGGCGTTCGGCTGGGAGCGGCGGAAGATGGGGATGAAGCCAGGATGAGGGGTGCAACGCGAAGACAGGCAGGCGGCATCGGCTCTTGCCTCAGGGTCTAGTCGGAGCTTGCGATCATGCCTACGCCAAACACCCCGCAAGAGCCCTTTGCAGGGCCCTCTGGACCCCGAGACACAGGTTCCAATCCAGACGGCTTGCGGAAAAACGAGGCGTGGGATGCCGCCAGAAAGCGACCTTATGTTGCAACATTGGTCTGGCTTTCTTAGTCGCGCAGAAGGGCGGCATTTTCTTGTGCCCGTGGCGGGTCGACGCGGAGTCGCCATTGGATTATTGGATCCGGCGCGCCATGAGACAGACATTGCCCTCCTCCAAATATGCAACATACAGATGGGCGGAGGGGGGAGGGGGAGGGGGAGGAGAGGAGGAGGTGGAGGAGGAGGAGGAAGAGGAGGAGGAGGACGAGGTGGAGGAGAGGAGGAGTGGGAGGAAGAGCAGGAGGAGCAGTGGGAGCAAGAAGAGCGGGAGGAGACGGAGGAAAAGGATGAGTCGGCGCTCGTGTGATTTGACCCGGGTTCGTGCGAATGTGTTTCGACCCTCCGTCCTTCAAGGCCCCCCCAGGCATTTGGAAGAACAATGGGTTCAAATTGCGGCCGTACCCTCAAATTCGAGATATCCCCCCTGCACTGCCCAGGACCCCCAGGAATCCACAGGAGTCCCGTGATACCCTTGACAGCTTCATGCTGGAAGTGTATCGAATGTGACTACATCACCTCATGTTGGGGCCCATAATGCAGGGGACACATTTGGTGTCAACCAGTTTTCGGGTGACCCATCTGCATGTGGGTCACCTGCGTGGTGCCTGCTTCTTTCAGGACATGTACTGAATGAGAATACATCACCACATGATACCTCGCGCTGATGCCTCGAATGCAAGTGAAGCAGTTGTTCCGAACCATCCTGTGGTGTTGGGTCTTCGTTTTGAAGAGACAGCGCCCCGCGTCCCTCCTATCCTCCTCCCCCTTATCCCTCCTCCCATCCCTGCCTCTGCCCTCCGCATGTCGTCGTCATCTTCATCATCACCACCATCAGCATCATCACCACCATCAGCATCATCATTATCATCAGCATCACCATCACCATCATCTTCAGCACCATCATCACCATCATCATCATCATCATCATCAGTATTCTCATCATCATCCGCATCGTCATCCGCATTGTCATCATCAGCACCATCACCATCATCACCATCATCACCACCATCATCATCATCACCGTCATCATCATCATCATCCTCATCCTCATCATCATCATCATCACCACCATCATCATCATCATCAGCATCATCATCACCATCCGCATCATCATCGCTATCCGCATCATCGACGTCAACATCACCATGACCGTCATCATTATCAGCATCGCCATCATCGTCATCAGTTTCATTACTACAACCATCCTCACCATCGCCATCACCATCGGCAACAATTCAGCACACCCAGGACAGCGCTTCGTGGTCCCATTGGGAGCTCCTCCTGTGGCCCCAATGGCGGTGCCCACATGCGTCTCCCCCACCCAGCCCGGCGTTTCGTGGCCCCACGGGGAGCTCCACCTCAGGCCCCAGCGGCGGTGGCCACATGCGTCTCCCACACAGCAAAGCGCTTCGTGGCCCCATAGGGAGCTCCCCCCTAGGCCCCAGTGGCGGTGCCCACATGCGTCTCCCCCACCCAGCACAGCGTTTCGTGGCCCCATGGGGAGCTCCACCGAAGGCTCCAGTGGCGTTGTCCACATGCGTTTCCCCCACCCAGCACAGCGTTTCGTGGCACCATGGGGAGCTCCACCCAGGCCCCAGTGGCGGTGTCCACATGCGCCTCCCCCACCCAACACTTCGTTCCGTGTCCCCATGGGAAGCTCCACCTGGGGCCCCAATGGCGGTGTCCACATGCGTCTCCCCCACCCAGCCCGGCGGTCCGTGGCCCCATGGGGAGCTCCACTTACGGCTCCAGCGGCGGGGTCCACATGCGTCTCCCCCGCCCAGCACGGCGTTTCGCGGCCCCATGCCCAAGTGGCGGTGTCCACATGCGCCTCCCCCAGCCAGCACAGCGTTTCGTGGCCCAATGGGGAGTTCCACCTACGGCCCCAGCGGCGGTGGCAACATGCGTCTCCCCCCATCCAGCACGGCGTTTCGCGGTCCCATATGGAGCTCCACCGAAGGCCCCAGCGGCGGTGCTCACATGCGCCCCCCCCCATTCAGCATTGTTTTTCGTGGCCGCATAAGGAGCTCCACCCAGGCCCCAGTGGCGGTGTCTGCATGCGTTCCACCCCTGCCCAGCATAGATTTTCGCGCTCCCACAAGGAGCTCCACCGAAGGCCCCAGCGGCGGTGCCTACATGCGTCTCCCCCACCGAGCATTGTTTTTTCGTGGCCGCGTAAGGAGCTCCACCCAGGCCCCAGTGGCGGTGTCCACAGACGTCTCCACCACCCAGCACTGCGTTTCGCGGTCCCATAGGGAGCTCCACCGAAGGCCCCAGTGGCGGTGCCCACATGCGTCCCCCACCACCCATCACGGTGTTTCGTGCCCCCATCGATGGCTCCACCCGAGGCCCCAGTGGCGGTCTCGCATGCGTCTCCCCCGCCCATTTCCGCTCACCCGTCACGCGTTGCTGACCCCGCACGGAGCTCCACCGAGGGGCGACGTCCGTATGAGTCCCCCCCGTCCATTTCGGCATACCCCTCACGCGTTTCGTTGCCCCATAGGGAGTTTCACCGAAAGCCCTAGTGGCGACGTTCGCATGGCGGCTCCGCTTCATTTCGGCACACCCCTCACACGTCTCGTGTTCCCATATGGAGCGCCACCGAAGGCCCCAATTGCTGCGCCCGCATGCGTCCCCGCCCCGTTTCGGCACACCCTTTTACGCTTCGTGACCCCATATGGGAATCCACCGAAGGCGATATCCACAACGGCGATACTCACAACTGCATATACCTGGGCCCTTCGCGAGGACCATTTTTTACCTACCAGTTTTCGGGTGACCCACACGCCTGTGGGCCACCTGCGTCGTGTCTGCTTCATGCGGAAAGTGCATGGAAAAGGGGCTACACTACTTCATGTTGGGACCCACATGCACGTGACATCATGGGATTTCTTCGACCAGTTGTCGGGTGACCCACCCGCCTGTGGGTCTCCTGCGTTGTTCGTTTCATGCGGGCAGTGTAGCGACTGAAAACGTATCACCTCATGTTGTGTCCCTGGATGCAAGTGACATCACTTCTCGGGTGACCCACCCGCCTGCGGGTTACCAGCGTGGTGCTTGCTTCGCGCGTTTTTTTGAAAGGGAATGCATCACCTCGTGATGGGGCCCAACATGCACGTGAAGTGATTTAATGTCCTCAACCTGTTTTCGGGTGACCCACCCGCCTGTGGGTCACCTGGATGGTGCCTGCTTCATGCAGGAAGCGTATTGTTCTTTGGATACATCACCTCATGTTGGGCCCCGGATACAAGTAAAACAGTTATTTCTTTGCACAACCAGTTTTTGGGTGACCCGCCCGCTTGTGGGTCACCTGCGTGATGCCTGCTCCATGCAGGACATGGTCTGAGTGGGAGTACATTGCCTCTTGTTGGGGCCCCGGATGTAAGTGAAACAATTTGGTATCCTCGACCAGTTTTCGGGTGACCCGCCCACCTGTGGGTCACCAGCGTCGTGCCTGCTTCATGTGGGCACTATTTTGAATGTGGATGCATCATGTATCATGGCCTCCATCGCGTTTTTGTTCATTTCGGGGGCTGTGATACAGGGCTAAGACGTCAGACATCAGAGGCTCGATCGCCTGCTCATTCAGATGTGGTGGACCGAGGCACCGAGCCAACACACTGCCGTTCTAGCTTAGGCGATCTGTAAGTTGAGATCTGGGGGGGACAGACCAGAACACCAGACATCAGAGGCCCGATCGCATGTTGGTTCAGCTTTGGGAAACTGAGGTATCCAGCGAAACAGCGAGACATCCGAGCCTCGACTATCTGTTGGTCCAGTTCTAGGGTGGCCGAACCACCAAGGCTGAGCATCAGACATGAGAGACGCGGTCGCCTGTTGGTCGGGATGCGAAGTAGCCGATTCCGAGCCATACGATCAGGCATCAAATGGTAGCTTGCTCGCCCGTCTGCCCAGGATTGTGGGAAGCGGGGCACACGACCAAGAAGTCACCCATCGTAGCTTCGATCGTCTGTGAGGGTAAGGTCCTGGGGAAACCAAACACAGAACGATAAAAACGTACGTCAGGGTCTCGGTCGCTTGTTGGCCCAGATGTGAAGTAGCCGAGACGCCGAGCTAGAAGGTCAGACATCATGGCCTGGATCGCTCCTGCGTTCAGATCTTGTGGAACCAAAACGCAGAGCCAGGTAATCCCTTATCAGAGGCTGGGTCGCTTGCTGGTTCGAATGTGGGGAACCCTAAATTCCAACCCAACAATAACATACTATAGCGTCGATCGTCTGGGGAAGTCATACATCAGAGGCTTGATCGCATGTTGGTCCAGATTTTGGGAGACCCAGACACCGCGCCGAACAATCAGGCATATTGGCCTCGGTCGTCTCTGGGGTTAGACCTGGGGCAGCCGAGGCACAGAGCGAGAAACACATTCATCAGAGGCTCGATCGCCTGTTTGCTCAGGGGGCAACTGCTCAGGGGGCAACCCAGGCGCCGAGCAAAATAGTCACGCTTCATGGCCTCGGTCGCCCGGTTGGTTCAAATCCAGGGGAGTCGGCACACCGAGCCGCAACATCAGACATCAAATGGTGGCTCGCTCGCCTGTGTGCCCAGATTCGTGGGAAACGGGGCACACGACCAAACAAACACATCATAGCTTCGATTGTATGTGAGGTTACGATCTCGGGGGCACGGCACACAGAGCGAGCAAAATCATGTATCAGGGTCTCGATCCCTGTTGGTCCAGATGTGAAATAGCCGAGACGCCGAGCCAGAAAGTCAGACATTAAGGTTCGATCGCCTTCTGGTTCAAATCTGGGGAACCAGAGACACCAAACCGACACATCAAGCAGCGCAGCGTCGATCGTCCGTGCGTTCAGATCTGGTGCAGCAGGGACACCTTACCAGAACATTAGACAACGGAGCGCTTTTTTCCGCGGCCATTCCCCCTCCTCCCCCGCCTCTTCGCCCCTCCCCCTCCCCCGCAGATCGGGGGGGGGCGTCGGGACACCGAACCGACAATCCAGCAGCAGAGCCCCGACCGCCTGTTCGATGAGATCCGGGGAAGCTGCACCACCGTGCCAAGCAACCAGACAGCCAGCCACATTATTGCAAACCCATGCGTTGGATTTGGTCAACTCGTTGGAGTTCCAGGAGTCCTGACGGGGATCGGGAGAGCATCTCCGCCCCATTCTCTGCTTCCATCGCCGTCCTTCCCCACACCGCCCCCGCCCTCCCTCTTCCATCGCCTGCCTCCCATCGCCTGGCCCCCCCTTCGTCTTCCCTGTCTCCTCCCTTCTTCCGTTTCCCCGCTCTCCCCACCTTGTCCCTGCTCATCCTTACGTCCCCGTCCTCCGTCTCCGCCCTTCTTCTGCTGCCACTCCTCCTCCTCCACATCTCTTCGACCTTCTCCCCCCCCTCTTCCCCACATCTCTTCGACCTTCTCCCTCCCCCCCTCTTCCCCCTTCCCCTCCAGCCGCGGCGACGAGAGAATCCCGAGGGCAACAAAGCCATCGAACATCGAAACAACTTGCTTTTCACAACCAGGTTTCGGATGACCCGCCCGCCTGTGGGTCACACGCGTGGTGCTTGCTCCATGCGGGAACATGAAATTGAACGCGTCACCTCATTTTATTGGCCAGAAAGCAAGTTGCTCCACACGATTTTTCGGGTGACCCACCCGCCTGTGGATCACTTGCGTGGTGCCTTCTTCTTCCTTGTTCTTTGTCTCAGTCAGTTTTCGGGTGACCCACCCGCTGTTGGGTCAGCTGCTTGGCGCCTGCTTCATCCAGGAGATGTACTGGAATTGGAATACATCACTCCATGCTGGGATCCAGTATGCACATGAAGCAGTGCACTAATAGCGTTTCGCTAGAGGGTTCTAGTAGAGACTCACTACGGTGTCCTGCTTCGCTTTGGCCCAGATGTGACTCGCACTATGTTGTTCTGGCCCGATTTCGAGCCTCCCAACAATGGGGCTTACCATGCTGTTCTGGCTCGAGTCAGGTCAGGAATGAAGCTCACTAGTGTGTTCTGGGTCGAACCGTTTTGCCAGAGTGTCCACGGGGGAGGTCGGGGGGAGGCGTCTCACTGGTCCGGCGGCTGTCCCGAATCGGCTCACTGTGCTGTTTTTGTTTGTTTTTCAGCGTTCGCAGATCCAGAAATGAGGCTTACTCTTGGTGGCTCGATATGGTCCAGGAAGGAGGCTCTCAGTGGATGTTGTGGCCTTTCCTCCGCCGTCTCAGATCCGGAACTGAGACTCACTATGGTGTTCTGGTTCGAGTAGGTCTAGAAACGAGAGTCACTATGATGGTCTGGTTTGATTTCATGCCAAATATTCTTCCCGCGCCATGGTCTCACGGGGGGCCGAGTAGACTGGTCCGACTTCAGCCCTGCCAGATCCAGAACTATGACAACTTACTTCTGCGTTCTGGCTCGACTTTGTCCAGGAATGTGGCTCACTATGGTGTTTTCGGGTTGGTTCGAGCCCTCCCAGATCCAGAAATGAGACTCGCTATGGTGTTCTTGCTCGACGTGGTCCAGAACCGATGGTCACTATGGTGTTCTGGTTCGATTTCAATGCAACGATTCTTCTCACCAGAATCTTCACAGGGGGGCGGCGAATGTTCTGGCTCGATTTCAGCCGTTGGAAGTCCAAAATTGTGGCTGGGCCAGATAATTCTCACCATTCCACCTGTCCCAGGGCTCCGTTGAAGCCCAACGAGGAGATTCCATAATATGGAGGAGTAACTAAACTGTACCCTTGGAATTGGGCAACTACTGGAAGGAACCCGTCAAAAGCCTCCGACGTTTCACCACAATCGGGGTAATCACTGGGATTGGCGAACGAGTGAACCTGTCGATGGCCTTGGGCTAAAATCAAATATCCTCCCTCTCCTTCGGCTAGATCGCGCTTGACCTTGCCTGGACGAGGTTGGTTAAAGAACTCTCTAAACTTGGCATTGCAAAACTTACTGACCCACTCTGGAAGTTGCGCTGCCTCTATGTGTGCCTCTGTGAACGCGAATATTTGATGCTCAGAACGGATCTCCTGCGAAGAAACATTCTTCCAAGCCTGAGGTCCCCTGCATGTGACGCTGCCGAAAAATATCGGAAACTGGAACATATACATTGGCGGGCTGTTTGTCAGTCCCAGAACTTCTTGAGGATCGGGGACGACGTCGGAGTGGTGTGGTGTATACTATTTTCCCCGTCTTCCCGTGGAAGCAGCGAAACATGTATACACCAGGATCCCGTATGCACCAGGATCCGCTTGCTTGTGCGAAGTTAAGTGCGGGGCCGTAGAAACCGTCGGTGTATAGAGTCCGGTCCCTTACAAACAGGGAGGTGAAGCCCTCCTCCTGGGCCTGAACAGCCTCTGCCGCTGCCTCTCTCCCCCAGCCAGAGGCTCGGGGGTCGTCGCAGTAGGCTGCAGGAGAGGGAGCCTGTCTCGTGGAGGCCGTCGCACGTGCCGCGGGCTCGCCTGCGCAACCTCTCTCGCGTGCGCTCGTCTGCTCCTCGGCCTCCCCCGCTGCTGCGAGCTCGGCTTCGGAGATCCTGCGGGCTGCGCCGCCTCACGAGCTGCATCCGCGCCTGCTCCTGGAGCTGGGCCTGGGCGTCGGCGGCCGTCGGTGGGCTTGCGCTGGCGGCGGCGGCCGTGCCGCTCGCGGCCGCGCTCCCCGCGCCGGCACCACCGCCGTCCCCGTGGCCCGTCTTCGGCTCAGTCGAAGCCATCCTCCTCTTCCTCTGCCGCCGATCGGAGTCCGTCTTCGTCAACGCCTCCATCCCAGTTTCCCATTCCTGCATTTGGGTACCTCTGTCGTTCAGGTCGGCTTTGGTCGTCTGAAGCTCACGTTCTAAAGTGCGCAGCTCCTCTCGTTCACCCTCCTCACATTCATATTCATCCAAGCGGCTGAATAATTCTTCGTCCCATTGGAGATCAAACATCGACTGCTCTTTGCCATTGTCTTTCTGTGTGACGTCAATCCCAGACTCTTGGGCAAGAAGCTCGATGGCGTTCCTCTTGGAATACTCTGCTTTGGCCAGTGCAAACGCACACTCTTGCACGCGCTCCTCAGCACGTCGAAGGTTCTCTCTGCATTTGACCACTTGCGCAACCGCCTGCTCGTGTTTGAAAGTGCAATATTTCGAGATGCTGCTGGCTGTTTTGACCGTCTCGTCCGTGCTAATGGGTTTGCTCTCTGGTGGCGTGCCCGTCTTCACTGCACACATCTGTTCTAAGAGTACCTTCTTGGTGTTGATATCGGATGATCCTGCCATCATCTTGGTCAACAATGTTTGGACTTCAGCAGGACTAGTCTCCTTGCCTTTGCCCTTGGCTCCGCTCTTGGCCGTTCTGTTGACAAACACTAACTGATTGTTGCTGTATTGATCGCAGCGATCCTCGTTCTTCTGTTTTGGTTTGTAGACCTTGACCGTGGAGGGACACTTGGTACACTAATTGTTCCCCTTTGACAACACATCGTTCCACTCGTGAGTGTGACATCGACTGCATGTGCTCCAGTGCCTCACTTCTTTGCCCGACATCGCAGCTAATCGGGACAAGCTGGCCTTGTGCCTTGCTTTTGCTGCCAGTAACTGCTGTCCACGCGGGACGGAAGGACTGGCACCCCTCAAACACCCCGAGGAGGCGCAGGGTTGGGCGCATGAGCCTGCAACATGCGGCTCGTGCCCAAATTGGAGGAGGAGGAGGAGGAGGCGGATGATGATGATGATGATGATGATGATGATGATGATGATGATGATGATGATGATGATGATGATGATGATGATGATGATGATGATGATGATGATGATGATGATGATGATGATGATGATGATGATGATGATGATGATGATGATGATGATGATGATGATGATGATGATGATGATGATGATGATGATGATGATGATGATGATGATGATGATGATTGATGATGAGATGATGATGATGATGATGATGATGATGATGATGATGATGATGATGATGATGAGGAGGAGGAGGAGGAGAGAGAGGAGGAGGAGGAGGAGGGGAGGAGCAAGTGAGGGGGACGGTGCAGGCGATCAGGGGGGCCTTGCATCCCAACGCCCTTACATGCGCGCAGGCGCCCTTGTTCGACCACATGGGCGGTGCTCCCGAGGAGCAGCTCGGGCGAGATGAGGGAAGAGGTAGCATGAAGAGGGGGAGGAGAAGGGAGAAGGAATGAGAGTCGGGGAACAAACACTGGCATAAACATACCTTTCGGGCCTCCGACAATTTCTACTGTTGCATATGTCTTCCCCCAGAGAGGGATGGAGGTTGTTGGGGTTCTGTATTGCAGCAGTCTGCGCGCCGTCTTGCTGAAGGCTCCCACTCGGAGGGCCAAGGGGGGGTACTCTTGTTTTGTTGACCGCCACCCTCCCCAGCGAGGGGAGGCCCTGTCCTGAGTCCCAGGCGGAACAACGCACAGAGACGAGAGGGAGGCAGAGGACGGCGAGAAGCAAAGAGGATGGACGAAGGACGGTGGAGGAAGGAGGAGCGCTGTCTGATATGTTGTATTGTCATGACGGTTGGGAGCCTAACCGATTCGCTTGAGATTCGTGCTGGGGACGTCGAGTGCTCAGACCCTGGCTATGCATGGATGTGGACGGCATTGGGGAAACCGAAAGGCACCGATACCGCTACTCCCCGGATCTCTCCCGGGGTGCTTTCTGAGCAAGACTTCGAGGCGAATGCAGCGGTGGCGACGAGGGCTTCCCAGGAGGCCCAAACAGAGGAAAAAGCGAGGCAAGGGTAGCGGTATGGGTACCCTTTTTTTCGGCTGAGGCGTTCGTGGCAGTGCCGCATCGTGGAGTCGATGGTCGCAGTAGTAGGGGGATGCTTCCCACTGCGCATGCGGACGAGGCGCCCCTGCAGCACCGCCCTGCGCGCACGGGCCGCCCGTCCTCTCGCGCGACGGGTCTGGTGCTCTGCTGCCGAGCCATGCTGCACGGTTCATCTGGGAGCGGTGGCGTGCCCCGCCCCCCGTGCGCCACGCCGCGCTCGCGGGGCAAACGGCCCGACGAAGTGCGAGGCCGGACCCGCGGCGCCCGCCGCGAGGAAGCGGAGGGCGGGAGCCGCTTGCCCCTTTTTTGTCTGGGGAGGGGGCTCGCTCATGACCTGTCGGGCCTGGTGAGAGAGCAGGGTGCGATACGGCCAGGCGACGGCCCGAACTGTCGCGCAGGGGGGGCCACTCCTGCCTTTTCTCACGTCAGTGCATGGTGGTGCATGCGTCTGGCATGAGCGAGGCCACGGGCGCCTGGCCGGCGCAACCCCGCCCTGAATGACATTCACGGTGGTGGTGAATTGCCGCATGGGCGATGGAAACATGAATTTCTGACACATGCCCGAGGATGCTCTACGCGTGCCGACGAATTTTGGTACTTCGAGTGATGATGCTGTACTGGATCTCCACAGTAGAGGAACGTGCTGCGCGGTCCGACTGGGACCGTTCCCCGGCGGATTTCGTGGGGATCTTTTGCACTGCGTTCCGGCGTCCGCCGCCGCCAGCCTTTTTCGCCAGAGTGGGGAGGGGAGCACTTGAGCAAAGTGAGTGCTGTGTTAGTCCGATGACCAAGGGCTGCAAGGTTGGGCGGTGTCCAGTTGCCCCTCGAGATAGTTTTGCTGTGCAATTGGAGGAATCGCTGTTGTGCTGGCCTCGAGGACCTCGAGTTCGTGATTGGCAATCTGTGTGTCGCGGGGCTTGCTGATTCGGCGCTGGTTGTCCACAATCCAACGTGCGATCCGTGCGTCCGTCGTATCCGCATCAGGAGACGCGACATTTCGTTTTGCCCCTGGAGACGAACCGCATAGTTGTTGGCCTCGAGGACCTCGAGCTCGTGGCCGATGCGTCGCGAGATTTGATCGATCCGCGCTGGCTGCTCACAATTCAATGTGCGACCCTCGCGTCCGTTGTATTCGCAACATGCGTGCCGAGATGGTCTCACAGGGCTGGCTTCACGGACCGAGTTGGTTGGAGGCTTACAGGATGGAATAACAGCCGCTGGTTGTTTTGGTAGGTACGTCCTGGCTGAAGAGGCATCCAGTAGCGCGCTGATGCCAATACTCTTCAACAGATATTGACCAGAGTTCTTGTCGAAAAGGGCGCGCACATGATTTACATGTCAAGATGGCGCCTTTTGCCATCCAGGTCTTGATGATGCCATGGAGCGAGCGGGGTGGGATGGCCCACGTGCGCATTGCCGGCATTATTCTACGCACATTGCCCAGATGTTCTTTCTGCTTTCCAGGAGGAGATCATGGCGCTCGGCAGGCCGACATGCGAGTTGATGTGGGTAGGGGGTTTTCGCAGGCAACCAAAAAGGACTTCTGAAGAGCCTGTAGGAATATCAGGAGGAACTCAGGGAGGAGCAGGAGCTCACCGCGCCGCGTAGGGAAGGGGCTGGGGTGAGGTCGGTACGACGCGCCGGGTGGGCGGGGAATGCGAGGCGTTGTGGGGGTGGATCGGGGAGCAGGGAGGAGCAGGAGGACAGAGCAGGGAAAGGGGGCTGGGAGGAGTCAGGAGGGAAAAGAACACACAGACACAATTAATCGTCGATTCCCGAGAAAATATGGGAAAATATGGGAAGTGGGGGGGAAGACAGAAACCCAGAAAATATGGGAAAATATGGGGACTATTTTTATTTGTGTGTATTCATTTGTGTGTCCTGGGGCCCCTTCAAGGAGGTCGGCTCGACGCGGCATCGCAGCAGTTGGTGTGCCGATCATCGATTCGACCCCTTCCTCCCCTGGGCCAGGGCAAGAGCGGGGTGCGCGACTCTGCCGGCGCGCCCCCTGCGGAGCGAACGGGGGCAGCTGGGGTCGGCGTCCCCCCAACATACCTACAGTCGGGGCCCTGAAGAAGGAACCCTTTTCGTTGGGGAGGGGCTCGGTGTTCCTTGATTGTTCTGCAGTTTGTCTCCGGTTTTCTTGAGGTTTTCCATGGGACATCGAAATTCAACTTGTGGGAGAAAGGGGCCTCGTTCCTTATTTAGAGTTCCTTAGGTCAACGCCCCGACGGTATACTATGTGTTCGTCGCCCCCCCAGGGGCGACGCGCGCACCGAAAAATCTCAGAGCACATGCGTCGTGGCGGGCGCTTTCTGGCCACACCGCTCGAGAAACGATCTACCACCAGATGGGTACACCACATGTTCGCGTCGGACGCGCGCCTCCAAGGCGGAGATACAGTACGAGTATGTCTCCGTGCGTCCCGCGGGAGAGGGAGGGGGGGAGGGAAGGAGGGGGGAGGGAGGGAGGGAGGCTTTTTTGACTGTACTTAGCTCGTTGCAAGTAGCTTGAGCGCAGCGGCCAACAGGACTGGCACAGGCTGCACACGAGAAGCCCGAGAGCATGGACGCTGAGCTGCTTCCGCTCTCGTCCCGAAAACTGTCGGGAGAGAGGTATTGGCGCTGCGGGAGGGGAAGAGAGGAATCATAAAAGAGAGAGGAGGAGTTTGCAGCGCCGTGCGAAGAGAGACATCAGCGGGGCCCTGCTTCGTTGCCCATAGCAGGGCAGCCCTCGAGGCAGAGAGCAGTGCAAGGCTGGAAAAGGAGAGACCTGCCTAGGTGTGCCGTCCAAGTTTCGGTCGGCTGAAGGAGAGGGAAGAGCTGGAAGGAGGGCCAAATTGGCCAGGCCGCCGTGCGGCTGTCCAAACCTCCAGGGGAGGAGAGCTGGACTGGAGGAAGGGCGGGGGATTCCATAAGAGGCGGGGGGAAGAAGGAGGGCCAGAATGGCATTGCCGTGCTGCAGGGCGGCCGCTGCAGCTGAAAGGCCTGTGCGGGCCGTCCGCGACGGGGAGGTGGGTGTGCCTGGGCGCTAGCCGAGACCAGACAACGGAGACCCACCTCCGTGTGGCCCCTCACAGGCACACAAGGACCAAGGGGACCCTGCTACACCTGGACGAGGGCCAAAGAGACAAGCCGAGGCACAGTGCCGCGGTCCTCCCACGAGGCACATATGCTTGCCGCGGCCTTGACTCAGCCGCACAGCCAAGACGCACTAGGGCATGGTGCCTGTCTGCATATATGGCACCTTCGCTGGCCGCCTTAGCCGAGAGTTACTCGGCGGGGATGTGCTGTAGCATCGTCCTTGCTTGCCACAGCTTAGGTTTGGCCGTGGCAGTCTGGCTAGGACTGTCTAGGTAGTGAGCAGCCAAGGTGAACCAAGAGTATTAGGCCAGCTCACCACCTAGGAGACTCAGCCGTGGCGAGTCTGCGAATTGCTGTGTGAGCTTAAGCCGATCGCTGTTTAGCGAGGCTGCTAAAAAGTGCCGCGTTGGCCGCACTCGTGCGGCAAAGTGAAAAGTCGCGCCCATGACTGGCAACTACTCTTGCACAGGCCTTCCAAGGGGGGGCCGGTAGAAAAAAACGAGTGACTAGGTGGGCTGCCGAGGTATGTATTAGGCTGGCCCCGCCCCTGTGTGGCGCATTGACGGTTGCACCATGGGCGCCCATCCCATGTTGACCTGAGATGGTGCCGACTGGCGCCGAAAGAGTTGCAGTGAGAATGTGTACCTGAAGGACCCACTGCGGCGGACTGCATGTCGGCTCGGCCGACCTTAAATTGGAGACGCGGCGTCTCCTTTGCTAGAGTTTGGCTCATGTGGTGGCTTGGGCTGTATAGGTGGTGGGCTGCCGATAACCAGGATCCGAGAAGTGTGCTAGCCCACCACCTATGCGTGAAGACTCAGCCGTGGCGAGTCTGCGAATTGAGATATGTGAGCGGCGTTTAGCTGCCTCACTGTTAGCGGGGCTGCTCAAAGATGCTGAGCCGCGCTATGTCGGGATAGGCTGGATGCTGCTAGACTTGCGTGGCCTACTACTCAGCTATGCAGGACGGCTCGACCGACCTTGAATTGGAGCGGCATGGCTCCAGCTGTTTAGGTGGTGGGCTGCCGAGGTAAAGAGAAACCAGAATAGGGTAGATGGACACAAGGAGAGTATTAGGCGAGCCCACCACCTACGAGGGCGCGCTGCTAGTTGCGCCGAGGTCGCCTAAGACGACCTATCAGGGCGCTGACTGATGCAGCACTCTCTGTGGCTCGCTCAGGCACCGAAGGGCGACGGGTTGAGCGTCGGATGCGCCGGGGCCCTTTCGGATGCCGCGCGGGCGGCAGCCGAGA